TTCGTGTTGGACGAATCTTGTTGGGCTTGTCCAACGCCCACTTTTTTCTAGACTTTCGTGTTAGAAAAAGCAATGCGATACGATTCCATGTGCTGCCCTCTTCATTGGCCTGTGACACGCTGGAATGTATGTCCAGCAGGTTTGACCTGCCTCAACCTAAACGCACAGACTCGTGCAACCCCTCTACAAAAACGAAACTTGACAAGCCGCTCTTTTTTTTTTTTTTTTTGCCTCAAGGTTCTGTCTACACCTTTGACAGTTCAAACGTACACGACAACGATATGACTGGCACAAAAAATATCGTCATCCTGGGCGGCAGCTTTGCCGGCCAGTCCATAGCGCACTACCTAGCCAGGCATACTCTGCCAAAACTGCAAGAATCAAAGGTCGCTAATTACAAAATCATCATTGTTGATCCCTCGACACAGTTTTGGTGGCATATTGCCGCGCCACGAGCCATTGTGTCTGTAGATGAAATGAAGCATGAGGACTGCTTTAAGCCCATCCTAGATGGATTCAAGCAGTATTCAGATCTTGCGATAAGTCACTTGCATGGCACGGCGATTGGACTGAACACCGATGATCGTATAATCGCCATCAAAACGGCGGCTGGTGAACAACAATCGCTTCACTACGATTACCTTGTTATTGCCACTGGTGTGCGCTCACCTACACCGCTCACGACCTTACAGGGTGACCATACGTTGTCAACCAAGGCGCTTGATGAGATCAATGGCAAAATCAAATCCGCCAAGACCATTGCCATCAGTGGTGGTGGACCCATTGGTGTGGAAATCGCAGGCGAAATTGCCTATCGCTACCCCGACAAAGAAGCAATCACGTTAATCACAGGCTCTGCGAAGCTATTGCCCATCCTCCGTCAAGCACTGTCAGATAAAGCACAGCAGATGCTGGAGAGGCTCGGTGTCAAGGTCAAGTACAACACACTTGTGACCAGCTCAGAAGCAACTGCGGATGGTCAGACGACGATCAAAATGAACAATGGCGAGACCCTGACGGCTGATGTCTATATCCCTGCCTACGGTGTCAGCCCAAACACAGAGTTCTTGCCAGACTATCTCAAAACAGGCGAACTCGGGTGGGTCAAGACAAACGGGGAGACGCTGCGAGTAGATGCGGCCGGACCGCGAGTCTACGCCGCCGGAGATGTTGCTGCAGTTGATTTGGGAGGAGTTCTTAAGCTCTACGGATCAATTCCGGTCTTGGGCGCAAACATGTCTCATGACCTCTTGGAAGATGCTGGTGTAAGCACAGTTCCCGAGCGAACGTATCTGCGCCAAGATTCCGAGACGCAGTTTGTGCCCATTGGTCCCAAGACCGGTGTAGCCGCATACAACGGGTGGAAGATTCCCGGCTTCATGGTAGGCCTGGCCAAGGGGAAAGATTACATGATTGGTCGCATCCCAGAAATAACCGAGGGTAGGAAGTTTTCCAAACCGTGAAGCGTGGGTGTTTTGTGCAATGTTTGTAATGAAAATGCTCAAGTAATGGATCAGCGATGTGCTCTTTTTCAGACATACCCACTGTTTGCTCTCTGGCAAAGCATCGGGGATCGACTGTTGGACGGTGCGGGGAAAGTTGCCAGGAACAGGTTAGCGCAGATCTGTAACAAGCCCGTCCCGCTTCGGAACAGCGCGACCGTTTGTAAGGCGTAAAACGCCAAACAGGGCCCCTTGACTGGCGGTAAAATGGCTCGCTGCAAATCATCCCAGTTATTTGGTACTGGGGGCCCACCTGGTTGCAGAGTTGTTGGCACAGCGTTGGGCTGCCACAGCATGACGGTGAGTTGTTGTCACCATGGACGGTAACATCGTGATCCCCAACATGGCCAACCGCCCCCTTCCCCTAACACGTGAGAGGCAGACACTCCCCCTAGCATGTGATTTTGGCGAATAGTGGTTGGTGTGCCATCCGTGGGGCGGCACGGACCAGGCAAACCCGCTGGAGCCGAAAAAAAAATAACAGCAAAGAACGCCGGGTCCGCCGCCTTTCTCCCCTTCGTCACTCTCTGCCCCCCTTTCCAAGTCACATGAAGGTTGAGAGACGTCATTCCATCTTTCTCTCCCTTGCCCGTACGTCTGACACTGTCCCTCGCTCCTTTGGAAACCCCCCTTCACTCGTTACACCTGGCCAGACGTGCAGCAGTGGCTGCAGGCTGACGGCATTATTGCAGGATACTCGACGGCAGTGAGGTGGAAAGGGCGGAGCACGGCTTATTTGCTGCTAAATTGCGAGTGAGACGAGGCACTCATCTCTGATTTGGGAAAAAGCGCAACTTCGTCGTGGCTGTTGTGCAGATATTCGCCGTGGGCTGGGCGGCATGTTGGTCCCTCGGCCGCTAAATCAGCTCGAGGGTCACTGTTCGGCATTGAGCAATGGAACCTTGTATGTTTTGTCGCCTCAGGGCATGCAGTCGCTGGCACTGGAAAAGAATGCCAAATGGCAAAAAGTGGAGGGTGGGAAGTCCGTGACTAGTCCGGCATGTGTAACGGCGCATGACGAGGGAGCCCTATATGTGGTCGGGGGCACTTCCCAGGATCCGTCTTATTCAGGCCTGCAAAGATTTCTTTTCGGTAGCCACACCTGGGAGACGTTAACTCTGCCTGGTGATAATCTCAAAGGACGAACGGAACACAGCGCGACTTACTTGGATGATGCGCAATCGATATTGGTATACGGAGGTTCTCAGCCAGGCGAACCGACAAGCGCGTCCTCGGAAACGTTTTTGATATCAACAAAATCACCTTACAACCTCCAGGCCTTTAGCTCGAAAGCACCGCCGACGCGACAACCGGTATTGGAACCGTGGAACACCAGTCATGCCGTTATGATGGGTGGCTCGACTTTCAACAAGCAGGTCTGGCTGTTTGGGCCGCAATTGGGCTGGTCACAGCTGATTACCAACCTCAGCCTGCTACTTCCTGTTGGAACACGGGGAAAGCTGATTCCGGGCAGCGACGGCAGCAAAGTCATGCAGGTGTTTCATCTCGACGAGTCACCCAACCGAATCTCACAGCTCGTGTTGCTTGGGCCTGAAGGACAGACGGCACCCAGCGGAATGATAATACCTCCTGCATCCTCGTCCAGAAAGCGCAAGCGAGGCCTGACGCTCGAGCACTGGCCGGCGTACAACAGCACAAATGCTCCAACGGCGAAACGAGCTGACTACTCGGTTGCACAAGCACAAAACGGACTAACGGCAATCTCGGGCGGTAATAAGGATGAGCCTCTCACTCTTTTCAATTCGTTTGATGGTAGCTGGGTAGACACTTCAAAGTTCTTCAACGTCAAGAACCAGCAGCCTCTCTTGCCTTCAGCGACCAAGCCCCCAATGACTTCGGCTACGACTGCAAGCCCAACGACTTCAGCACCGGCTCCATCTAAGTCAGACAGTGGCACAGCGGGCCACCAACCGATGCTCGGTACACTTGGCATCATACTCGGTGTACTTTTTGGCATAGCCGCCCTTTTCATGATAGCTCTCTTGATCTTTAGATGGCGGAAATCAAAGCGAGAGGAGAGCAGACGGCGAGAAGAGGAAAAGGACAGCAATAGGTTAAGTTTTGCCGATAGAGGCACGTCGTTTGTGGCTGGTGCTGACGATGAGCCTTTTACTTTCACACCGCCCAAAGCGAGTGGACTCGGCTCAGGGCCTGTGGGTGACTCACATAGCTCCTTGGCTATCATCACTGGCCGCATTACCAATAAGCGATCCAGCCATCGTGCTCATACCAGCACAAACAGCACAGCCCATCTGATACGAGCAAATAATGGGCAGGAGCCTGTAGAAATGGTCGACATGGAAGACAAGGGCATGAATTCACCAGAGCGGACTTATGACCCAAATCGCAGCTCGGGATGGTCCAATTTCCTCAAAGCGAGTTACCCGGAATCCAAGGATCTTGAAAGCGACCATGCATCCGTTGCGCCATCTACATCAGGTCGATCTGAAGAAAGGGGGAGGACTACTCCGCAATTACCCCTGGTAACCACAACTTCATCACCGCCGAAACTCATTCCGCCGATCGATGTCGATTATCACCCCACTTTTGGAGGCCAACAAATCTCGCACGTCAATACAGGTTCGCCCTCGTATTCACATAGTCGAGAGGACTTGACCAAGCTAGGCGGTGGATCCTTGGCCGAGGCGCAAAAAGGGCTGATTGTCAATGGAAGTATCGATGGATGGGACCGACGTTCGCAAATCTCGGGCTTCTCACTATCAGCCAATCGAGCCGATGGCAGGCCATACACACCACGCATCCAAAGTTCCAGAGGGGAAATTTTCTCAACTCCTCAGACCGAAACCTGCCACAATTCACGCGAATCGGAGTCGCAAGACAACCATGAAAGCACTTATAGCAGCAGCACATACGATCCACGGGAAAGAATCAGCTCTAGAGGTTCTCGTGGCTTTTCAACGAGCTTCTTCCCCGGCTCTGGCGTACCATATCACGTCCCAAAGTCTAAGTCAGCGTTCATCTACGACGACGTCGACTCACCAACAAGCGCCTATGCCGACCGGTCAACCATGGACTTGAGCCAGCTAACAACCGACTCTGGTCCCGCAAACAACCCCGAGCCCGATGATGAACCCAGCAACTATGATCTGGACCCGAAACCCCTCGAAACTGTTCATCCCAAGCGAACAAATCAACAGCAAGCAATGCCGAATGATATGAGTTGGATTAACCTAGGACTAGGCAATGACACGAATAAGTTTTGATTTGGCGTTTTTTGTTCTTGCATCTTGATGTTGTTTTACTGGAAAAAGAAATCTGGGCATGGGATCAAAAGACTAGGAGCTCGAGCGTTTCTTCATGAGTTGTGGTATACTGTTGATAGTCATGTTGTATACATGTAATGTTTTCAGGAATTTGAGGTGTGCTTGATTATGCCTTGGGAGGTTTAGTGGTTGTTTGGGTATAGTTGGTTGTTGGAGATATATATTTTGATTTGCTACATCCTCAGACATGAATGGTCGGTTAGCTCAGTTGGTTAGAGCGTGGTGCTAATACAAATTGGTACGCCAAGGTCGTGGGTTCGACCCCCATACTGACCAGTGTCATCCGTCTATTTTTGCGGGATTTACGGGACATTTTTTTACTCTGTGCAATTTTGATCACACGTTTAGGGAAGATTGATGGGATCAGCGACATGGGAGTTTGATCGGAATGCAGAGCAGACTGCCCAAGGTATAGTTGAATGGTGTGGGATTAATTTTGAGGGTGTCGGCCAAAGCTATGCTTTGTGTATAGAACCAAGCTTGTCAGGCCCGAGAGGCCGGAGGGCACAAGGGATGGAGTTATGCGGTGTGCGCTACGCTATACTGCCTAAAAGACTAGAAAAACGCGTGAAGAGCAAAAGGGCAACTGTCTCGGTGTTGTAGGATCGAGCGGGCCGTGCCGAAGCAACGTGACTGGTACTGGGCAATACGCTGCCTGAGCCTACTTTACAACCAACTGAACTAGTTTCTCCTCTCCCAGGTGGGAATAACCATTCCCGAGCGCGAAGTGAGGTGGGACTGAAACTCTCATCACCATTCTTTACAGTCAAAGCGGGATATAGTGGACACTGGATATGGCGAATCCCTCTTTATAGCGGATTTTCAGTACCCCCGATTTTCTCGGGGGATGTCACGGCTAATGCCGACAGAGTCCGTGCTCTCTGTAGTAGTTAAGTAGCGCGCCTGGAGCCATCTCCTCGCGCGACAACATAGTTCCAACGCGTACCCTGACAGGAGAACATAAACACGTTTCTAGGGATCGGAGTTGAGGCGAGGGTGCTTACTCTAGGATTGTGCGAATAGAGTTGGTTCTTGAGAAGGGGAGGGTCGAGAATGAGTCGGTTTCGTTCATGGGGGAATATGCTCGTTACAGGGGCCCGTTTGGACTGTGATTGAGAGGGTCTCCAGTCGGGACAGCCCATGCAGTGCATCAGGTACACCATTTGCGGACAGGGTGACGTCGGGGAATGGCCACAGAGAGTCAAGTTCAGGTGGGTAGAGTGCTCCCAACGCAGCTGCCAGGCAGCCGGCTTGGTGCGTAAGGTGCAATCGATACAATGGCTTGACCTTCGAGAATTTGGACATCTGTCCATCCCCAATGGCAGGTAGTCTAGCTTCAATGTTGGGCTATTCTACGAAGAAGACTAGCGGTCCTGCTTACGATCTCGTGTTTCGAGGATGGTTGATTGGACGGGGGGTGGGTGTTACGTGTCGAGGTCCATTCGTAAATGATATCCGATGAGGCTTGATTAGGCATATGGCTGACTCTTTGGCTTGTTTTGTATGAGATGAAAGTCTTTCCAGAGGCAGGTTCTACTTGTATGAAGACGTCCTCCAAGAGGATATCCACGAAGAGGCTAGCAAGGCCGCTATTGTTGATCTGTTCAGGGATTCCTCATATTACTTGTGATTAGACCATCTAGGTTGTGGTCTTTTGATAAGGAGCAGATCAATAGTCTCCGCTATCCCAACGTAAAGTGCAGCGGAGCCAAGCAATTGGCTGGCACGTGACTCGCACTGGAAGGGGAAATGGAAAAGTGGCCACAACGACATCCCTCGCATTATCCTTGAATATCACTGCTAACACACTACGACTTGGTTGATGCTCACGGCCTTGTCTCTAGGGGCGCAGATCACCCCTTGCGAGGTTTCCCGCCCAGTCCGGCAGGTTTTCTAGAGTACTCTCCTTGCTTTTCCAAAAGGGCAACGCGACGTAAGTAGTCTACATGCCACGTCGTAGCTGTGGAGCTAACAGGGACAGCAGAAGGTTATCATGGCACAGGAGACGGACGTCTGGAAGGGTCTCCAGAACTGGGCTCTCTTTGTTCCCGTAGTGGTGGGCCTCGGGGCCTACTACTCACTGAGCCAGAGACGTCAGAATGCCAGGCCGGCCACAGCTGCTCCGAACAAAAGGAGCGAACGGGAGGTCCGGAGCAAATCGGCTAAGAAAGAGGATCAGGCGTCCGGCGAGCCTAAGAAGCGCAAGGCTCCGCCGCGTCCGAAGGGGGACGTTCCGGCTGTGCCTTCGACCACGTTCACGGAGCCCGAGAGAGAGGATATGAGCACCAAACAGTTTGCAGCGAGGATGGCGAAAGCCAAACAGGGCACAGATCTCTCAGCCCCCAAGGGCGGCGACCGTCGCGTGAAGACGGTAAAGCAGGGCAAGGCCGTCGATACCCCTGTCATCTCCTCGGCCTCTTCGGCGGATGAAGCAACTCCCTACGCTGGCAACGTCAATGATATGCTAGAGCCAGCCGCTCCCGGGCCCTCTGTGCTTAAAATCACACCACCTACCAAGCCGGCCAAGGAAAAGGCGCCGCGCCAGAAGAAGGAAGAGCCGGTGGAGACCAAGAAGCAGCGTCAGAACCGTCAGAAGAAGGAGCAGGAAAAGGCTGAGCGGGAGCAGCAAGAGCAGCAGCGCCGGGTCCTCGAAGAACAGCAGCGTCGCATTGCTCGCGAGTCCCGCGGCGAACCGGCTAAGAACGGAGTGCCGGCTGCTAACGCCTGGAAGGAGAAGCCGGCCAAGCCGGTCGTTGATGGGCCTCTTTTGGATACATTTGATGAGTCCAGCGTGAAGGCTGGCGCTCCTGCCGAAGTTGCCTCGTCTGATGGTGAACCACCGGCCGATGGATGGACGGTTGCGGCACCCAAGGGCAAGAAGAAGAAGGGCAGCAAGGGAGAGGAAGGAGAGAAGACTGTCGAGGAAGCCAAAGAGAAGGCTACACACGAGGCTCCCAAGGACAAGGCTACAACAGCTGCTCCAACGGCGAAGTGGATACAGACGGCTAAGCCCAATGGCTACACTGTCCTGGGCTCATACAAACAGCGCATCGACGTCGACGCCTCGGACCCGTCCAACTGGGACCCTTGAGCGGGCTGGACAGGCTGAAACCTGGGATGACAGAACAAGGCTTGGGGAATGCGTACAACAAGGCCCTAGTGTAGTGTTTTAAATTATGTACGTCAGCACAATGCATTCGGTCTATTCGTTCAGAATGAGCGAATGAAATCACCTTGGGATGAACTAGGATGGATGCGGAACGTATCCGCAGGACGGAACCGTTCCGAATATCAATAGCTTCGCTGCATCGAATCAGGAGCGGGGACTTGTAAGAGCGTATTTGGAAATGGGGATAAGGAAGGTTAAACTGGCCACGTGTACTGAATATTCATTTCCTGCGCTGTTCTTTGTAGATTTCCACAGTCTCTTTGCAAAACAGAAGGACGCCCGGACCCTCGACCCACAAGGGGACAGTTTTCCACTGCAGCCCCCACAACCGGCATAATTCCACACCCCACTTGACACTATCCCATTTTGCTGCTGCGCAGCTTAGACGACATCTCCATGGCGCACGTTCGGGGCACAGCTGGCTACAGTCTAGGCAGCCAGCCAGTTGGCCGCTACAACATGGGACCGTCCAGGCCCGAAGCTACGAATGACCCGTGGCCGCTCGAATCAATCCGTGAACACACGAGCAAGATGGAGGATTGGCTCGACACCATCGCCGACCCTGTTAAGCCGTGGTTGCCGCACATTGGCCGTTTTCTAATCGTTGTCACGTTTCTGGAGGACGCGCTGCGGATCATCACGCAGTGGCACGATCAACTGGTCTACCTGCACGTCTACAGGCACAGTAAGTTGGCAGGAGGCATCGAGGTCGAAGCTAACTCCGTCTGTAGTTCCCTCGGGCGTCACGCACACCTTTCTTATCACGAATGTTCTTACTATGACAGCCTGCTCTGTCCTTGTCATCACACGACGCCACACCGAGTATGCTGTTGCCGGGCTCATCGGCGTCGTCATCGCCCAAGCCTTTGGCTACGGCCTGGTGCTGGATCTTAATTTCTTCCTACGCAATCTATCAGTCATGGGCGGCCTTTTGATGGTCATTTCTGATTCGTGGGTCCGAAAGCGCTTCGCCCCGGCCGGCCTGCCGCAGCTGGACGAAAAGGATCGTAAAATGTATTTTCAGCTGGCTGGACGCGTGCTGCTCATTTTCCTATTCATTGGCTTTGTTCTTGCCGGCGAATGGAGCGTTGGCCGAGTGGTGGTCATTTGTTTGGGAGCCGTGGCCTGTGTTATGGTCGTTGTCGGTTTCAAGGCCAAATGGAGCGCCATCATTCTTGTCATGATCCTGAGCATCTTTAACGTTCTCGTTAACAATTTCTGGACAGTAAGTTTTCATGATCCTTTGGTATAGAGACACACTAATCACACTTGCAGCTTCATCCAAGTCACCCACATAAAGACTTTGCCAAATACGACTTTTTCCAAATCCTGTCGATTGTCGGAGGATTGCTGCTCCTGGTCAACATGGGCCCGGGTCAGGTCAGCTTCGACGAGAAGAAGAAGGTCTATTAAGCAGCAACAGGACAAGGGTTGGATTAGAGTTCGCAATAGGCTGATGGAGCGGGAGCTATCTACAATCTGCAGCGACTGTCTATGGAGTATGGAGTGACATCATCTACACTGTAACGACCATGTGATTGCGCGTGGCTACGATGAAGTCTTGGCATGTGGGGGAGGAACGTGTGCTATGCCGTTTTAAGTTAGTGCGTCGCGCAGACAGCTCTACCACAACCAGCAGCTGTAGGCTGTTGCGGACGCAAAATGGTCTCTCTCATGCAGCGCAGCAGCTTCAACGCAAATAGCATCTTTAATCCGCGTAGGAGCACCTCCCTTGCTGCCAATAACGTGGATTCTTCCGACATCGTTCTGCCATCGATTGAGACCGAAAAAGAAGACAGCAACCTTTGGTTCGGACACGACGCGGACGAGTTTGCGCGACTGACGGACGCGTTCCTGGCCCGTGTTTCCAAGACCGACGTCGACAACTACGATGCTGCGCAGATATTGGTGCAGGATTACGGGCGGTTGACGCGTAAGACGATGGCAGAACGGCGCAAGGCGTATGAAAAGGAGCGCGCGGAGCAATTACGCAGGGAGTGGGCAGAGCGCACGGCGCTGTCTACCAATAAGCCGCTCGCAGTAATGGCAGAGCAGGTCTACAGCTTGCGGCAGTATGAGCAAGAGTGCGACATCTGGTCCCTTTTCG